GTCCAAGATTAACCTTCAGGGTGGATATAGCTCGCTAGCAGCCTCGCACCGAGGACCTATCCACGTCATCATTTACCCAGAATGCTTTGTGTGCAAATAAAATGGCCCTGACCGTGTAATGTACAGTATTTTTAAAATTTTTAGTTTAAAATTGATAAAAACTGAACATCCTACAGTATTTTTACAATCTTTATTTTACAGTAAAAATATATGTTTATTAAATAAAGTCTAATGTTACAACTAATCATGGATCCCTTTAACAACCTGTCTCAAAGTACAATGGACTTTTGGAGGGGGCGGGGTGTGAAGCTCCTTGTTTGGAGAGACAGCCTCAAAACGAGTTGATCCRAGACACACTTCAGAAAAGGGGCGGAGCTTGTGCAGTTACAATAAAGAGGAATTCAGACTAAAGCATTGCAGTTCCACTTTATATATATTAGATTTAATGTGAAAAAGAAGAATTTAAAAGCAGGATATGTCTCCTTTAACTCCATAAAACAATCAAGATAAGACAAATACAATTTTTTACCAATGAAAATGACAAAACAAAAAAGAAAGTAAAGTATCATTTTCATGGCATGTAAAACCAACAGTGCTGATCAGAAAACTTTTTTCAGACTTGGATGAAAACCATTGATATTTCTCTGTTTAGTACTGATCCAGCAGCACAGACTGGTTTGAAACAGCTTCCTGAATAACTGTGCTCACCGTTTGCAACTGGAACTGAAAACTTTTGAATTTCAAGTCAGAAACCTCAGTGTCTGCTGAAGGACAAATTCTGATTTGAAAAATTGCAGCTCTGAACAGAAATAAGTGAAGAAAACTGAAGATGGATGAATCAGCTGCACATAGTTTTATAAACCTTTAACAAGTCAGCCGATGATGGATGGATTAAAACGTTCCAGAAGCATCCTGACATTAAAGAATCAAAATAAAATCATCAAATTAAAATTTTACAGTTTTCTGTTAGCACTCTGTCACCGCTGCCCTGTGCTCCAACCAGGATCTTAATATACAGATGTGTAAAGCACCAAAGTACAAATACTTTGTCACTTTACTTAAGAAGAAATTTTGGTTATCTATACTTTACTATAGTAATTATTTTTTGGCCAGCTTCTTTACTTCTCCTTACATTTTAATATTTAATTTTGGCTTGTCATTGTTAAAAAAAGATAATTAAAAAGCCTACAATATGTAGAAAAATTACTCCTGGATAGAGTGAATTTAAATGCAGTTGGATGAGAAATATAAATATAAATATAAATATAAATCATTCTGACTCCTTATTGGTTGTATGATCCATCACACCTGTACATGACACAAATCTTGTTCCACTTCAGTAGGACGTATCGTATGTAGCCTATTGAAGATGTTGGTACATATACATACTTTTATACACACTACTACTACTTTATACTTTTATCATATTATAATCATTATGACCTTCAAGTGTTTTGTACTTCACCTCCAAGAAAATTTCCTTTTGGACATTCTAATTGCTAAATTTTACTCATACTTTTAATATGAATTTTATATCATAAATTTACTTAGATACTTAAGTACATTAAATGTCTTTAAGAATTTTACTCAAATTCTTAGAGAAGACTAACTTTTACCAGAGTAGTGTATTGGTTAATACTTGTACTTTCACTCAAGTATCACTTTAAAGTGTATCTTACCGTGAAATGATAACTTCGCCCCAAGGCAAATTTTAAAAAATGCCTACAGTGGTCATTGCAGGGG